AGGTTGGAAAAGACCCTTAGGATGGACTCCGACAACTAACCAGGATAGAAAGTATGTTGCAGAAGTCAAATGATCAATTAGAACAAACTAAATTCCATTATGCAAAATATCTGGAAACAGACTAACAAGTGAGTCAAGAAGAAAATATTCCTAGCTTGAATTTAAAAGCTTGACAGCATTTTAGACACCTAAATGAGCAGCTCTACAGCTTATGTAAACATTAATCAGATATCAAATTCAAAGACTCTGCTCTACATTTGAAGCATGTTATAGTTCAGTCTTGCATTCTTAGACAGTTACGACCTACACACTCCTTTGCTAGACCAAAGCTAAGATCCAGGGTAGAAACAGTCAAAGAAAGATGGAAGGAATGCCCAGCATGTGAAGATCTCAAGCAAATATTAATATTATTCTGTCTTACTTCTGCAGAAATCAGGCAGTCATGAGTTATTGTTTCCATGCTGTTGGTGAGGGGGACAACTGCAGATTTTCAAAACAGAGGCCTCAAGCACATGTCACCCTTCAGGCTTTAGGTTTTCTGGGGAAGGAGGTAGAGAGGGGAATTTACTTTGTTCTCTTAGACCATGTTCTAGTTTACAGCCAACCTATATATCAGCCATATCTAATTTGGCCAAATTTTCCTCTGGGAACCTATAACCACAGACAGTTACTGATACAGAAATAACTTCTCCAAAGTAAAGTGTACCCAAAGGTACCTAGTGCTTTGGGAAATGACTTAACACAGCATCTACTCTGACATGCATTTCTTGCATACAGCTTTCTCCTTCTATAACTCCAGCAGATATGATTTATTACCCCCATTTCTGACTTTGAGGAAAAAAAACCTGCACTGTTGACAGCATTGGTCCTTCACGTGTGCCTGACTCGCAAGCACAGAAGCTTTCTCTTGCGTAGGCAGCCTCTTCCAGCTAAGCTTCAAAATTTAATCCTTATTGTTGCCTAGAGAGAACCAGTCAAAGCAAACAACCCAGTCCTTCTTTGAACTCTGCAGAAGTTGGTTAGAGGATGACTTACTTGTTTTACCCTATCTGCTCAAATGTGCAATCACCCTCTTCACCTTCTTACATAGTCATGCAGCAAGTGATACACAAATGAATAAAGGAGATCTATACGTAACACTCATAAAAGATAAAACAGGCATTTTCCTAGTTCACTGCAATCGTAATTCAGCTCCCTCTATGCAGCTGTATATCTCTAGAGAGGCTGATTTACGGCTGGGAAGGCAGAACTTGCTGCTTCTACTTGTGGGATAAAATCTAATTCAAGTGATGCACTAGTACAGTTTCTCAGCAATTAATTTCCTCAATGTTTAGAAGTAAACCAAAACATGCTTTCATGTTCAGCCTGTTGTATTTGTTTCACTCTGCTTCTCTCTGGAAGAACTGCACCTTTGTGCACTGCTGGATTTTTGTTTGAAAGACCACAAGAGGGTTAAACTCATTTAAGGTGAATAAATTTCTCAAGGTAGAAGTTCTTGTACTTCTGCAGCCAGGGGAAATTTGACGGCAAAATAAAATTAGTTTTTAATTTTGACCATGAGAAACAGAAGAATGTTAGCAGAAGATCAATTTGAAGAAAATGAACCTGTGCCTTTATACTTGAATTAGTTGTCAGTTTAAAGTAGTCAGACTTGCAGAAAAAACAAGCTGTATGCACCCTATCAGCTAAGCACAAGACATTTGTACCTAAAATGTTAGTTTTGCAAAAGCAAATAGGAGTTAAGGAAGCAACACAGGAAAAAAGCTAAGAATAAAACCCAACAATGGTTTCCAGGCTATACTAGTTCTATAGTTGTCCGATCTTTACAGCCTAAGCTTCCCCTTTCTTTGTTCCAGATACCGATGAACAGGAGGAAAACACAGAAACAAAGCACCACAGCTCCTCCTTAACATATCACTTCTGAATATTTTAAAGACAGTCTCTTGGGAAAGCTACCTACCCTGCATGGAAGCAGAGGGAAAAGAGTGTCAGAACTGTTTGTTGATGCAAGCACCACATCTTTCATCGCAAGAGGTGCAGCTTTCAGCCCTACAGATAGCGGCAGACAGCTATTCTCTCTGCTGGCTGGCTGTTTGCTCACATCTTTTCCATGGCTTTTATGAGGGAACCTTCCACCTTGCTCACCGTCTTCCCTGCTTATCCACGTCTCTCCTTTCTCCCCGTATTTGCTTCCCTTAATTTGTCCCTCTTACACCTCCACCACACAGTTCATGGGATATGCCCCTTATACGTGGGGTGCCCAAGACTTACCCAGTACCGCTCAATCACTTGATGAGGTGTTGCATCTGTTTGCCTTAGTGCCCTGGACACCCTCAGTGTCCTCCTGCACAGTGCCTCTGACACAAACAGGGCTGCTCAAGCCTACTGAAACATTTCAATGTCTTCTTAAACATCTGAACATGCTCCAAGCTCTATTCAAGCCACAGGAGCACACTTATTACAAAGAGAGTGTCATTAGCAGCACTGCTTGGAGCAAAGTTTCCTAGCAAACTTCAGAATCAATTTAATTAAATCTTATCTGCATTTGTCCACTGCTGCTGTGATAAATAAAGGCAACAATATGAGATCAACTGAAAAATGGAGAAATTAAATAACACTCCAAACAAGCTGTAATATTTCTTTTCCTTTCTTGCACACTTCCTGGCATAGCAATGGTATTATCCCTATCTGAGCAGGGATACACACATCATGGACCAAGATGCAAAACCACACTTCCGTAACTAAAATAAGTATATTTCAGAACTAAGCCTTTACTCACCCAAAGTGTTTGTTGCAAAGTTTTTTTCAAGTCCATCTTCAGTCAATTCTCTGTTATTCACCATACATCCTGCATTGTTGATCTGTAAGATAACTCCTGTAAACAAAAATAATCTACACAAATATTTATAAACAAAACCACACACACAAGGAGTTCATGTTAGTTTGCTGTTTTCTGACACTGCAACATGAAGCTACAAACTGTTTCAATAAACCATGCTATTCCAAGTCACACTACTCTGTTGCTGGTCATAAAAGTTTTTCACAAAAGAAAGGATCTTCAGTTCAGAGAAATGGCTCACCACAGACATATTACACTGAGAGCCAATGCTCCTCTTAGCATCTTACTCCATGTTTTTAAACTCTTTTCTCACATAAAATAACATGCAAGTTGTAGAACAGATATTAGAATATATATATGCAGTGTAGTTTGTTAAATCTCATCTGAGAGGTCATGCTGATCCCACATCACCTGCGCTACGAGGTGATGTACTTCTGTTAGAGATCTCTGCATCCGGGAAAATTCACTAAGGGAAGCTGTAGACACACGGTAAACAGCTTGCAGGCAACCCCCACCGTCAGCAAATTAAATAACTCATTTAATTGGAGCTAACTCAGCTCCAAACGTTGCAGCAGTTTAGCCAGGTCAGCAGGTTAGCTCTGAGAAGAGCAGAGCTAACCAAGAGAGGTGCATCATACTGACTTTGAGCCCTGGTTGTATGGACTCCAGCTTCCCTGTGCCTGGATATCCTGCACAGATAGCCCACCTGACTCACACATTGCTAAAACAACACTGTACCACACAGCACAGATGCACTGTAAGGTATAACCTCATCAATATTAAGCAGCTTGCTGTGTGTAGCCAGCATATTCTCAAGACACACTTTCTTTTCTCTGCCTTACCTTTCAGAGGAAGCTCAAGCTTTTCTTTCCCACGTTGAAAAGAGATCTGTCCCTACATACCTCCCTGCTCCTTCACTGCTGCTCCTCACAAGCTATTTTCCCATTTCTATCAGAATTTCCTCATTTAGTAAGCACCGAAACAACTGCTCCAGGTGCCTCGGTTTTAATACAGCCCCTCGAGCAAGTCTGCACTGCTAAATAAAGGGGAGAGAGTACTGAGCCCCTTACCATCCATGCTGCTTAACTGTTAGCTCCCTCCCCAGCTTGGTTTCAGACTGCTCTAACTAGACTTTCTATAAAAGTTTAATCTTTAAGAGGGAGCAAGTATAATGTGCCCTTGGGAGGAGGCATCAGTCCCTGCCATATTCTGTTTAGCAGATATACAGCCTAAAGGCCTGATATACAGCCTAAAGGCCACAATGTTAGCATGGTGAGAACCTCAGAAGATGCAGCTAAAAAATTACTGCACTTCTCTATTTTTTTTCCAAAGTCATATCTGTGTATGTGAACTGAGAACAGACAAGGGCAAACAGACCACAGAGACAACTGCAGCAACATCTAGAGAAAATTAAGGAGAGAACTGTGGGTCAAATTGTAAAAATCTAGACTACCTATTGGACAAGTTCAGAAGTTACACACTCCAAAGACAGACATATGATTTAAGTATGCAAACTTACCAACACGTTTAATTTATGTTCATTTCTGAATTTTTCAGCAAACTTCCAGATATCCTTGGGATTGGATATATCCACAATATGCAAGAATACATTCTAAAGGGAAAAAAAACTAAGTTACAATCAACATGGAGAGTGAAGAGACTGGTCACTGCTAAGGCATCTAAGCAGTATGAAAAAATATTATTTTCAGAACACAACTAAAACACTTATGGTTAACACGCACAACTGGAAAAATCTAATTCTAGTCCTTAACACATGTTTAGTCACTTGATTCAGTTGCTTCTGAGCCACAGCTTTTTAATCCCAAATTTATTAAGAGAGCCCTACTTAGATAAATATACAGGACAGACAGTCAGGCATAGCAGGGAACTAGAAAAATATTGCAAAGCTTGCAAAATTCCTGTTTAAACAATTCATACAGCAGCTTCCTCTTTAGCTGAAGGCAGCTTTCCAAAGCAATGCTTCAGGTCACAGCATTAGAGAACAATTTAGATTGGAAGGGAATTCTGGAGGCCGCTTGGTCCCACCGCCTTCTCAAGACAGGCAACTGAGATCAGGTTGTCCAGGGAAGTTTTATTACCAAAGATGGAGATTCATCAGCCTCTCTGAGCACACTGCTCCAGTGTTTGACCACCCTCACAGTGGAAAACAATTTTCCTACTATCTAGTCAGAATTTTTCCCTGTTAGAATCTGTCTGCTGCCTCTTGTCCTTTCACTGCAAAGCCCCAAGAGAAGCATGGCACTGCCTCTCCTACACCCTTCCCATCACATGGCTGTAGACTACATTAAGACCTGTATCAGCCTTCTCTTCTTAACACTGAGCAAAACCACCTTGCTCACCCTCTCCTTGCATATCACGTGTCCCATCTCCCTAGTCACCTTGACAAGCCACTGCTGGACTTTCTCCAGGACATCAATGACTTCCTCATCCAAAACTGGGCACAGGACTCCTGCTCTGGTCTCCCAAAGGGTTAATGGAGAGGAAGACACACTTCCTTCAGCCTGCAGGCTATGCTTGTGTTCTTACAGCCTGGGATCTGGTTGGCCTTCCTTGCCCCAAGGCACACTGCTCGTTCAGGGACAGCTTGTCATCCCCAGGTCCTTTTCTGCAAAGCTGCTTTCCAGCCAGCTAGTCCCAACCTGTACTGCCCCATGGGGTTACTCCACCCCAGGGCAGGATTGTGCATCTGTTCTTGGTGAACTTCATGAGGTTCACGTCAGCCCATCTCCTCACCTGTTACATCTTTCTGACTAGCAGCCCTGCCCTCCAGCTAGCCTCCCCTCATTTGAGATCATCTGCAGTCTGACAAAGGTTGTGTTTGACTCCATTGTCCAAGTTGCTAAGAGACGTTAAACAGTTTTTGTCCCTATATTGACTCATGGGGGATGCCACTGAAAACCAGCTAGCAGATCAGCTGTTGATTGTACTGTTGATTGTTACTTTCTGGGCCAAATGTTCCAGGCAGTTTTCCACCCAGCTTGTCATCCACCAGTTCAAACCGCATTTCTCCAAACTGGCTACAAGGATACTACAGCAGACCATGTGAAAAAGCCTTGGCAAAGTTAAGGAAAGTGGCAAGCACTGCTCTCCTCTTGTCCATACACAAAGTCATCTCACCAAAGGCAGCAATTGGGATGGTCAGGTCAGGTTTGCCCTCGATAAATTCACAGTTATTTTCCTCAGTCATTCCTGTCTTTCATGGCTCCCGTGAGGATTTGCTCCATAGTTTTCCTGGGAAGCAAGGTGAAGCTGACAGCCCTGTAGTTCCTTAACTCCTGCTTGCCTTTTTTGGCAGTTTACGGGAAGCACCTCCAGCTCTGAAGAGGTTTTCCTAGAATATCAACCAGCTTTCCCAAGGCTCACCATGGCTGTCTTCCACGGGATCCTGACAACCAGGTCCATAAAAGAGACAAAACCTGTTTTTATGAAACCAAAGACCATAATTCTACTACTCATCCTTCTCACCTGTCTCAATCTTAAATTCCACAACCTCATGGCCAATTCCACCAAGACAGCTTTCAAGGCTTCTATTCACAGCAGGTCCAGCAGAGATCACCTCTAGCTAGCTTGTCCGACACTCATAAGAAAAAAGCATCCTTGATGCTCTCCAGAAATCTCCTGGACTCTTTATGTCCTACTGCATTGCCAGCAGGTATCGAGGTGGTTCAAGTGCTCCATGAGTACAAGGACCTCTGATCATGGGGCTTCTCTAGCACTCTAAAAAAAGCTCCATCTACTTCCTCTACTTCATCAGGCAGTCTGCCGCAGACACCCACCATGCTGTCATCCATATCAATCTGACCTCTGTGCCTTACCCACAAGCTCCAACTGGCTTGTGACCCATTTCAGAGCAGTGCATTCAAGCTACTCCTTTGCTTAGGGCACAACTCCTCTTCCTTGTCTTCCCAGCTTGCCTTTCTAAAAGGGTCTGTATCCATCCATTCCAGCACTCAAATCATGCCAACCATACCTCTCTAATCCCACTGAGATCACAGGTCTGTACCCATGCATGAATTCCTGATAGTTTCCTATGCTATGTGTATTCATGTATGGGCATCTGAGATGGACTCTCAGTCATGCAGTTTTCACATGAAAACTGTCAGAGCCTCCTCCATTTTGCTGTCCCTTAGACATGTACTCTACCCCCATGACTCCACTCCTCTTCTGGGTTTAGTCACTATCCCTCCAATGAAACCAGCTTAATGTCCTCTTCACTAGATTAACAAACCTGTTGGAAAAGACACTCTTGCTCCACTTTGTCATTTCTGCTCAGCAATGTTCATTTCTCAGAGAAGGTCAAGGAGATCATAAAGGCCAAAGACAAAGTGACAAAGGCCGAAGTGACACCAGCTGCATATTCAGGTGTGACCTGCTCCATGTTTATGCTCCTACCCAAGCCCTTCCCTTTCACTGGAAGGATTTCAGAGAGCACTACTTGGGCCCCCAGGCCCTTCACCCCCTTAAGCGCTTTTGATGAATTCAGGGTCACCTCTCACAACGTCATGGGTGCCCACATGGTAGGACAACAAGAGGTATCAGTTTGCCTCAGTAAGCTTTCCACATTACCCTAGATCTGAGTACCTAGCAAATGACAAACCTCTCAAGACATCAAGCCAAGACTGCAGATGGGTGCCTCCATCCCCCACAGGAGGAAGTCTCCAGCCATTATCACTCACTGCTTTCTACTCGTGCCGACAACGGTTCAGGCTCATCTGTCTCCAACACCTCCCCTGACAGAGCTTGTTCTTCCTCTTCTGTTACCATGGCACTATACCTATCCTATAAACGCACATCTGCAGGCAGAGAATGAGCCTGCCTTCTGTTGCCAGCAGTCACAAGCTTCTATTCCTCCCTATCTTAGGAGTCTCTATCCACCACTTATTCAAGCATAGCTTCTAGCTGTCCCTCCTTCCACGCAATGTGGTGTTTGTGCTCTTCTACTCTACAAAGACCCTGTCAATCTCCTGTTTCTATTCCCTATGGTTATACAGCATGCTCATCTCCTGCTATCACTTCACCTGGCAGCCCAACACCTCTACCACAGCAGAACCCAACAGATGAGGCCACCATCATGCTCTGCCCCAGGCTCAGGGAAAAGTACCAGTCCCTTCCCTGTGGCCTGACATCTGCCACATCATTCCTCTGGAGCTCTGTCTGGGCCAGCCTCCCATGTGCCAGGCCCAGTTGCTCCAACCAGGGCAGGAGAGCACACTTTCAGGTGCACCATTACACCCTCTCCAGCTGTCTGAGTGTTGGGTGCCTTCTGCATCCCTCTCCATGCTAATTGCTGCATTAACTTCTAAGTCCTTGTTAGCTACCCCATGTCACAACAGTCTTGCAATGTTTTGAAATACTACGGCCAGGAATCTGGATGGAATAGAATTGAAAAAAGGAAAAGCTTGACACAGAGCAAAGTTATAATTTTCTAAACCACTAAAGCTAAAAACATCTCCTCTCTTCAAAACATCAAAAACCTTTTACTGTTTGTTACAGGCAATTCTCTTGCTTTTTGCAAATTTGTGTTCTACCTAATAGAAGCACAGTGGCATTTATCAGCATACAAAAGGCACATCAACTCCTACTCTTCTCCTAGATAGCTCTTATTCTCAAAGACACACCACAGATAGTCTTATGATGTATCCTAGGAAAAAAGGCAGTTTTAAAATAATTATGCAGAGGATGTGTTCTCATGCAAAACAACAAATAATCATTAAAGGGCCTCCTCGCTTTCCAAGTTTCTTTAAATACTCATTATACAAGCAAATGACATAAGTGAAGAAGCTGAGAAAATTATAAGGCATTATTCCCTGCCTATAATTCTGCTTCCCTGAAGATAAAAACCACATGACTTTTTCTCTCTAGCCATTGGATTTCAGCTCCTTAGTTGAGTTAGGTCAGAATTTTCTCATTTCTGACCAAAAAAAAAAAAAGACACTGCTCTACTGTTTCTAACTGGATACCTCCCTAAAAGCTTTCTACTTTTAAAGCTACTACCATTATCCACTGGAACAGAAGAGCTGAAGGTTTTTGGCCAGATGTTCAATATTATAAGTGATTTCATAGACTGAAAAAGATCTAAATCAACACTTATCTGCTGAAGACTATCACATTGGCTCAGAAAAACGACCCTCAGGCCTGTCGCCTATAAAAGTCCTTGATGGTAGCAAAGTCATTTTCAAAGCAAGACCTAATCTCCATGACTAGATCTACTTTAACAGATTAGGCGAAATTCCCAGTTCCCAGGTGCAAGTGCCTGCCAAATAACAACTCCATTTCAGCACTGAACTCCAGCATGTGTTGCTGTGGAAGATGGAAAAAATCTTTGGCTATACTACAACAGGATCTACATCCAGATGATCAGGAAAAGCAAGTTAAGTCTGGATACAGCTTGTCAAGTTGCAGATAAAGCATTTCATTATCTCCCTGGATTGCTTCTGAATGAGTACTTATAAAGAAGGATGTTCTTGTGGACTCCTTATTAAAATGACTCTTTCCAGTGCAGTCTCATGTCCCACAGGGCCTCTTGCACAGCTCGTCTAACACTCCACTGAACGCCACTTTCTATACAAGTGCTCTGTCCCCAGGGTCACGAACAAGTTCTGCAGTGCCATCATACTCTTTCACAACTAGAGAAACTACAGGTTTGCAGCCTACCAAAAAGTGGGAATGCAGCAATCGCGCTGCTTTTAGAGGAAGAACATTATCTGCCTTGAGTTTTGCTTCACCAAATGACAGAAAACAGAACACGAAGGAACCTTCAGAGGTCAAACTCACCCCTCTTCCCAGGCTGTCTGACTGCAGTTAGAAAAGGAGGTAACACAGATAATCACCAGTCTTACTATAGCCATGGGATTACACAGTTACAGACAGCTGGAAAGTATTTATTTCTACATAAGGACTGATCTAATTCACCTCCATTAAAGAACTGAAGTGTGATGCTGGTTGTGTCACACTAGGGAGCTGAAACCAAAGAGCAGAAATTTAGTCAATATGGTATCTCTAACCATAAAAAGTCTTCAGAATTTTTGATCCACATTTAAAACTATTACTGGAATCAAAACAGTGTGCTCAAGAGCCAAGTCACTGTTTAAAATGAAGATAGCTCTCCATTCCAGTGTTGTGGGTTAACTCCAGTAGGAGTAGTAAAGCCCCTTACAACCACTCACTCGCTCCCCTCTGAGTGGGATGGAGGAGAGAATCGGAAGGGTAAAACAGACAAAGCCTGTGGGTTGAGATAAAGACAGTTTAATAAATGAAGCAAAGCTGTGTGTGCAAACAAAGCAAAATAAGGAATTCATTCACTATTTCCCATTGTCAGGAAGGTGTTTAGCCATCTCCACGGAAGCAGGGCTTCATCACATGCAACAGTGATTGGAAAGCCAAACACCATAACTGCAAATGTGCACCCCTTCCTCCTTCTTCCCCCAGCTTTTATTGCTGAGCATGACATCACATGGCATGGGATATTCCTTTAGTCAGCTGGGGTCAGCTGTCCCAGTGTGTCCCCTCCCAAATGCCTGTGCTACCCCAGCCTGCTCACTGGTGGGACAGCATGACAACCAGAAAAGGCCTTGGCACTGCGCAAGCACTGTTCAGCAATAACTAAAACATGAGTGGTCAAAGGTCAATGCATCACAAATCAAAAACATAGCACCATAGAAGCTGCTATAAAGAAAATTAACTCTATCCCAGTCAAAACCAGTACACCAAGATAGAAAGACAATTATTGTACTTCCCCATAAGCACACTCTTCTAAATAATTAGCAAAAGCTACAGTGACAGCTACAGGGGTATACTGCAGGGTGATACATGCAGAAGCAAAAAGAATCCGTAATAGAAGGGAGGAGGTAAGGAAGAGATATTATAAGAAAAGGAAATGAAAAAATCTGTAGAGCATGGAACTAGGACCACACACAGGACTTCACAGTGCAGCCAACCTTAGTAAATCAAGAGCATGTTATTCAGGCACATGAAATCGTCAACTCCAATGCTGTGAACTCGTAAATGTTGTTGCAATGCATTAACTTTTAAAAGCTTCAGCCACCTAGTTAGGAATAGTAAGTAGGACATCACAAAACATATTGACAACAAACATTAAATCAAACAGCATGCTGCAGGTGATGTTATTAATCACAGAAAACATTACCTAGTGAAATTAAATCACTTCAAACTATATGGATGATAAACTACTAGATGTTTACATGTCTGTATGAAAATACTATTAAAATGCAACAGCAAAATGACGAAACAGTATCTCAAGGCCTCTGAGGTCTTTAATATTAACAATCTTCCTAAGAGTAAACAAAAGACTGAAAAACAACTCACCTGATTGCCTGTTTCTGTCACTATTTCTCCTTTAGCCACCTCAGCCCTTTCCTTATTTCGGCAAAGCAGATGAACCGTGCCACCTGGTGGATTTTGACAAAAACCACATTGGATAATTGATTACTGACCGTTAGGGAAGGAATCAGCAAAGAGGGAGGGACAAGAAGTGATGTTCTTGTTTGGGGTTAGTTTTTGACATAATCCAAACGAAACAAAAAGCCTTTTGTGATTGTATTCTAGTTTGTGGGAAATCTATAGCCTGCTAATAGCAGTGGCAATACTGGTTAGATGGTCAATGAAACATCACGGGAGCTTCCCAGCAGGCAGAATATTCCTGAGCTGCGCGCAGCCAACAGTCCCGCTTCTCTGCTGCCAAGAGCTGAACGGTGTTTTTTTGTCAGTGCTGCTGAAGCTCAGGTCTGTGGAGCTCTCAGGACTCCCATGACACTTGCAGATGAGCTGGGAGCAGGCTAGGGCCATGGCACCCCGTAGTAGTCCCATGTCCAACAGCTTTGGGCCATTCCTAGAGACAAATTCCCCCAAAAGGCACAGAGCCAGAAGTACCATCAGGCAGACTGGACACACCAAGTATTTCAACAGGGTCTGTCAAAGGACTGAGGTAAATAAAACATTCAGGACACAATGAGCGATGTACTAAGAAAGCTGGAAGCTTTCTGCTTGGCTCTGGTCACTAAGAAGGCAGGCAGAAGGTGACAGTATCTTGCCTTAATAGGGCCACAAGCAAGGTTCTGTGTACGGAGAAGGCCACTGCAGTCTAGGCACTGTTTGCTCAAACCATCTTCTGTCAAGTTCCCACATCATATTTAGTGTTTATAAAATACTAGGGCTACACCAGAAATTGAAGCAAAGGCAGCTATATCATAAACGCTTCTTTTGGCACATGCCTTGGAAAGTTCAGTGAAGAGTTTGAACAACACAAGTGACTAGAATTGTTCTGAGAAAAGGAAATAAAAATGCCACATATCAGAATTCTTCTCAGCAATGGGAGAAATTACAAGGACCACGGCTATAGCTTAGGAGGCTCAAATCAAGCATTAAGAAAATTTTTCACTGCTTTTCCTCTAAACAGATCAGGCTGTCCCAAGAGGCTGCATAATTTCCATTCTTGCAGGTTTCAAGATCCAGTGAGACAGAGCAATGGCTAGTTTGATCTAGTGTTGGCAAGAGTCTAGCTTCAAGTAGGATGCTGGACAAAACGATCTTTAGAGGGCCCGTCCAATCAACTTCTCTATCAAAGGAATACACAGGGCAAGGCTTCTCTCAAAGGCATGGATACTTATCATGACCTCATAACTCAGCCACATTAAAGAGACACTTCAAAAAGAGGACTAAACTACAGGTAGAGAATTCTTTTTCATTTTTTATGCTTTGTATTCTCTGATCATTACCACTAATGTGTTAATCTCAGTCACAGGAACACTTGCACTCTTTACTTTTTACCTATTGTTAAAGGTGTTTTAGGGGTTGCTAGCAGTCCACCACCAGAAGGCTCAAGCAACGTAATCCCAAAAGAGTGATAATAGAAACAACAGTGCCAGGTCACTCTTCTAGCACCAAGAACCCAAACGCAAGGCACCAACTCTACCCTAGGGACAGAACAGTCACACACTGCACAGCCCAGTGCGGAGTCCAGCAATGAAATTTTCTGTCTAGGAGAGATGTTTTTCCCCTGACCATCATTACAGCAAGCATACTTGGCATGCAGCTGATGCAGGCAACAAGCCTCAAGGTTCGAATGAAAATTTCTAACAGGGTGCAATTTCTCTACTGCACTGACAGAGTTGGTTATGTTACTTTTACCAAAAACACAACCACAGTGGATAACTCCTGCATCTGGGATAATCATACAAATGACACTAATCAATGTTTAGTAAAGTTTCATCTTCAGTTTGTGTTACACATATACCGTGCACAGAAGGGACCATGCACAGACAGGCACTGGATATATACGGATCAGAATGAAAGACAGTCTTTGCCCCAGGGAAAGAAGATTTCACAAGTCAGAGAAAAGACAATCAGAAAAGGCAGAGTCCAATACTCATCTCTCTGGACATTCTCACAGTGACTGCAGGCCTCACTGAAAGAGAGGGCTTTAATTACAAATCTTAAGGCAGTTAGGATGTGCATTTGCAGAAGCTTAAGGAGCTCTTCCCAAAGCACAGAGATAGCACAAGTAGTGTTTGAAGGTATAAATTAAACACATGGAAGAAGTAGCTGGCCTTCAAGCTGATCAGGAACATTCTCATAGCCTACAGTGGCAAACATTCAATAAAAACAGAAGTGGGTTTAAAGGGCTTTGAATATGAACTTTTTTCTTGCTGTTAAGGAGAGATGGAAGTTTTGGTGTGACCTACGGGCTAGGAAAGAGATTTAAATACATTTTCCAAGGTAAAGATTGAAATTAGTTCAACTTAAATAACACATGGGAATTGTCAGAGTGGTTGGGAGAAGACTGCATCCTAACTGGAAGTGTAGTTCACAAGACGTACAGGAAAGCCCAAATCTGCAGTACCCATAAGACACCGATTCAGAGGAAAGCTGAACTCAGGCTAAAGAAATTGTTATCAAGACTGTAATTATTTACAAATATCTGAAGTGCTTGAATGTAAAGCCAACATAGCTTGGTTATTCTTTTGCTGAGCCTGAGCTCCTCATTTTCTTGTCATGGTGTACTTGAAGAGATTCAACTAGAAGCCAGAGTCCCAACAGCAGACACTGAGTTTCAGAACGACATGTGCCAAGATAGGATCAGGAAGACACTGTTAAGTCATTTTAACTTCATATGCACAGCAACACCCACACGAGGTATCAGACAAGCAGTCTGAAACAAAGAATGTTCTTTGGGCTTCAAATAGTAGACATGGTGACCAAATCCTATGCAAATCTAGTCAGCTTGACAGCTTGCAAAACCTGGCAGGCATATGTACTTGTGAGCAAAATGGTCACCAGACAAAGCAATACTTACATAAGGCTATTATACATAATGGTAGTAGTAGGAACCTGAAATCAATCACATACTGGCACTGATAGGGATCTTTAACCCAAAGCCTCTTTGATAGCAATAATTGTGAATTAGTTTAATTTAAATGAGTTGCCATTTTCCTTCATATGATACTTAACGAAACCTAAGCGGGCAAATAGACAGCAAAGAGCCACAAGGTCCTCCCTTTTATCCTACATGCCAAAACTCCTATCGCTCTTGCACAACAGGAATTATTTTGCCAGCTCTGAAAAGGATTAGGTTTATCCTTAATCAGTAGCTAGTTCCAGTTCATACCATCTCCTTGCTTACAGACAGCAACAGAAAAACTGGTTGCATGTAAACAGTTAAAGGGCACGAACGCCAGGTTATGATTGTTATTAAGATCAAGCACAAGTGCAATGCTTCTTTTATTATCTTCCATCTCAGCTTAGCAAAGCCAATTGTTTTTTTTTGTCATATGATACATTTGCAACTTCTTTAAAACAGTTCAAATTCAGCCAGGCTGCTACTTGTACCAAATTAGCCTTAAACAGACCAACAGACCTTGATCCATTACTAACATCCTCAGATGCCACTATAACACAGAAAGTTTTAGTAAACACACACTTGAGAAACACTTTGCAGATCTTCTCAACTAATTTTGTTTCATCATTCCAGTTTTCACAGCACTGATCATGCTTAAACCTCTAACCCACACCAACAGTTCTGGAAAATAACACACTTGACCCCCCATCCCTTTGTGTTTGTGCTGGAAGGCCAAATCCGATTCCTTCCACCTTCTTCCTCTGTATCAGCCCCTCGGAGTTCCTCATGGCTCACCTCTCCTGGCTATCTCTTTGGCTGTGGCCTTGCCAATGCCACTGTTTGCACCAGTGACCAGAAAGGATCTTCCAGCCACGTTCACCTCCACTTCGGCTGGATTGAAGTGCTTGGAAGCAGACTCATAGCCATTCCTGAATAAATCAGAGACACCTGTTGAGAAACTAGAGAAGAATACTCCCAAAAAGCACAGGGAAGGGCTGAAACACACTCTCCCCTCACAGCTCAGCATATGCTGAGCAGCCCCCTCTCCCCATCGCTCTCCGTGCTGGTGGGACAGGCCACATATAGTGCTGGTGGGACAGGCCACATATAGTGCTGGTGACCCTGCAACAAGCGATGTGGCAACAA